AAACGACTCGACGGCACATAACAACAACAACATATACATTGTTCTATAAGTCACCATTGATCTATGTCCACCATTACAGAACCCCACTGGATCTTTCCTCATTCCTTCACCCCTACCCTGCACCCACCAAACCCTGTCACCCGGCAATGTCCTCTCATCTCCACTTAACAGCTCTCCTGACTCCGTCCCATCCCCTTTGGGACTTTTATCCAACTCTTGTTGCGGGATGTTGGGGAGGAAGGAAGGGCCTCTGGCCAGGACAGATTGCCTAAGCTCCAGATAAGTTCAACCCTCCCAACAGCTTTTAATACGATGTAGAGAAAGATCCCCTGTGTTTGGCTGTACTGGTTTAAGAAAGCTTACCACCGGTAAGACGTCTGCCATATCTGTTGAGCTGGGAGTGGTCTGCACGAGGCTGAGGTTCTCCTAACCAATTCACAAGTTCCACATCAGTAAGCCCACCCTATCCTGTCTTCCCGTGTATTTAAGTGCAGTGGAGTCCCAATAAAATTGAGCTGGATTGACTCTCTGATCCTCTCCTGGAGTGGTGTATCTCCATGTGCTTATCCCCATCAGGGTGTCGCTGTCAAGCTGCCGGCGAACTGACAGTCACAAACTCTTACTAGTTATCCATCTGTTTTTACAATATGGTCTTATGCAGTATTTGTCCTTATGAGACTGAGTTAGTTCATCAGCAGAATGCTAACCTTTCCCTCATTATGTACTAGTTTTTTAAATTACTGCTCCTGAGAGCTGCACAGTATTCTACCATGTAAATGTACCATGATTTCTCAATCCATTTTTGGATTTTGTTGATGGGCATTTGGGTTATTTCCATGTTCTTGTTAATTATAAATAACGCTGCTACTAACATCGGTATTTGTGTCTCAGTTCTATTTGTCTTGGAGTTTACTTCTAGGAGTGGAAAAGTTGGGTCATATGGAATTTGTATGTTCAGCTTTTTGAGGAAGTGACAATCTGCCTTCCAGAATACCATTTTATACCATTTTATCCCACTAGCAGTGTACAAGAGCTCCAATCTCTCCACATTCTGTCCAACATGTATTGCTTGCTGTCCTGTTAAACTTTGCCATTGATATTGGGGTGAAATGGTATCTCACTGTGGTTTTGATTTTCATTTCTCTGTTGATTTTGAGCATTTCTGTTGGCTATCCACATGTTTTCCTCTGTGAGAAGTCCTTCCATGTCTCTGGTACATTTTGTAATTTGGTTATCAGTCTTTTCCTTGTGGAGGTGCTGTTGTTGTTAGGTGCTGTCTAGTACAACGCATAGTGACCCTATGAACAATAGACCTGAACCCTGCTCTATCTTGTGCCATCTTCACACTTCCTGACACACAAGAACCCATTGCAGCAGTCACCATGTCAATCCAGCTGGTTGAGGATCCTTCCTCTCCTTTGCCAACCCTCCACTCTTTGCAGCATCATGTCCTCCTCCAAGGAATAGTCCTTCCTAGCAACATGCCCAAAGTATGTGAGGTGAAGTTTCTTTATTGCTGCCTCCAAAGAGCACTCGAGCTGCACTCTCTCCAAGACATACCTGTTTGTTCTCCTGGCTGTCCATGAGATGTTCATTGCTCTTCTCCAACACCACAGCTCAATGGCGTTAGTTCTCATGTCATCATCATTCATTTTCCTGCTCTCAGATGCATAGCAAGTGATTGCAAAGACTATGGCCTGAATCAGATGTACCTTAGTCCTCAAACTGACACCATTACTCCGCAATAATTTGGAGAGGTCCTTAATTGCAGATTTTCCCAGTGCAATGTGTCTCCTTATTTCTTGACTGCTAGTACCAAGGGTGTTAATCCTAGATCCAAGCAAAATGAAGCTTTTGACAGTTTCAATCTCCTCTCCATCCACCATAATGTTGCCTATTGGTCCAGTGGTAAGAATCTCTGTTTTCTTGACATTGAGATGCAATCCATATCAAAGGCGGCATTCCTTGATCTTCTGTAAACTTTCATTATGAGACCCTTTTCTGAGATGGCATTCTCAAATGTTTTTTCTCAGACAGTAGGCTCTTTTTTCACTCTACTGGAGAAAGTTTTTGATGCACACAAGATTTAATATTTAAAAGGTCCCATTCATTAGTGTGACTCTCTCCTGGCTGTATTTGCCAGCCTTTTTATACCATAGGCTAGGCCTTTTAAATTTGGTCTCATTTTCTCTTATGAACTTTATTGATTGGGGCTTTACCCTAGGTCTCCAATCCATCCTAAGTTGATTTTTGTGTATGGTGTGAGATGTGGCTCCTGCTTCAGCCTTCTGCAAGAAGTCTAGTTTTGCCATAACCACTGTTGAAGAAGGGCAGTAAGTCTTTAAGGGAGAAGCCTGTCTATCTTTCTCTCATGGAGGAGCTGGTGGACTCAAACCACTGACCTTTTAGTCAGCAGCATAACATACAACACACCATGCCACTGGAGCACTTTCAAGCAGATAGAAGGACTTCTGATTTCCTCTGTAATCCATCCAGTGTTTAACAACTCTCATGGCAATGGACTTGGTTCTCGAGCTGCCCAGCCCTATTACCCCAGACTAGGTAACCGACTGTTCCACAGAAGGCCTGGCTCTGCCCGCCAGACACCAGTCCCTTTCGTGTGTGTCTCCCATGGTCAGCTTGGGGCCCTGGGCACTCCAGTTCACTGCTGGTTGCCCAGCCCACCCACCATTTACTCCTGTCTGGACCATTGTACAAGCTCACTGAGAGTAAAGTCCTCAGATGCCAACTCGAGGCAGAAGAGTCTGTCCTTTAACTACAACAATTAACTACCAGAACCATCTGTAACCTGTCCCATGGTCAATGGCGGCTCTGCATCAGTCTATTCCTGGACATCAGTCAATCGGCACAGTCACGTTCTGTGGCCGCCGGACAAGCCAGTCCCAAGCGTCTTGGCTTCTGAGAGTCCACTGGTCCCCAAGCCCACACTTCCTGAGACCAGCAGGTAGACCAGGTAAGACTGGTAGTCACTTTGTGCAGTAAGGGCTCCACAAACAGAAAGCCATTTCTCTTGGGGAGTGTCTGACTCCTTGTCATCCCTTTTGTGTGTCAGGGTAGACCTGGCTCCACAGAGTTCCCAATGGCTGACTTCTCCATGCAAAATGCCACACCATTCTTCTGAGGCACCTCTGAGGAGATAAGTCAAGCCTTGAATTTAGCAAATAATAAATGCAGCTTTCTGTTTCTGATGCTGAGTTGGACGTTTTTCCTTCAGCACTGTGTGGCCCTCTTCCAGTAACTCTCATCTTCTTTCAGACTACTCTTCATTCTGGAGCCAGAATGATCTTTTCAAAATGTCATCTGGTCACATCACACTGTGCCTCCTGTCCTCAGGGCTCCCCACCATTTAAGGTTCGGCTCCAATCCTTTACAAAGCCTCCAAGACCCTTCTTGACTGACACCTCTCCTCAGCGCGACTTCTCTTCAGTTTTTCTCTCACGCTCAACAATTTTCTTTCAGTTTCTCAATTATCTATCCAGTAAGTAACTGCTGAGTGGCTTCTAAGCCAGGTACTGGGCTCACTGGCAGGAAGGCAATGTTGAGAAGGTTCACAGTCCCCAACCTGACAGTGTTTGGGACGCAGCAGGGCAGCTTCTCAGCCCCTTCCCATGTGCCTGCGGCACTGCCAGGTCACTGGACATCCCCCTTTGTCCGGCTAACTCTTGGTCAGCTGTCAGGGCTCAGCAAGCCCTTCTTTTCCTTCCTCAACCCTGGTCAACACAAGAGTCTACGTCAGGCTCCTAGTAAAGTGTCCTTGTAGCATCTAGCACCCTTGTCTTTGTTCACGTCATCAATGATACTTCTCACTGATTTTCCAGTTATTTGAAAACAGACAACTAGGACGTGAGCCAGAGCCTAACACAGGACCCCCCCCACACACACACACACACACGCACACACAGAGGAAATAATGAATACTGAGCCAATTACTGCAAAAACAGCAGGTGGGAGATGGTGTGCTGGGCAGAAGGAACCATGTTCCTCTGAGGTGCTGCATCACTCTCACCCTCGCCGAGGTCCCAGGCCACCACTGCTAATAGGGGCAGAGCCTGTGACCGGCATGTGAGGCTTGGCTCTGCCACTGACACCTGCAGGCCTGTGGGCAAGTCAAGTAAACTCCTGCTACAGCTTCCTCCTCTGTAAAATGGGAATAGCAGGTACCTAGCTCAGAGGTGTTAGTGAGACGAAGTCATCAGCATTCACAGAGCACGTCATTATGTGACTCCTAGTCACTGTGACTCCCAGTCTCCTCTGGGGCCGGTTCTACTAAATCAACATCGTGACCCTCACGTATCCCCACCGGCCCGGGTGCAGGGGCTGACCTTGTGCGCCATCTCCAGAGGCTTGCCTCCCTTGATGAGGATGCCGTTTTGTGCGGCCACCCCAGTGCCCACCATGACCGCCGTGGGTGTGGCCAAGCCCAGGGAGCAGGGACAGGCGATGCACAGCACGGTGATGGACGTCTGGAAGGCAAAGCGGAGGATGACCTCGGCCTGGGAGATGTGCTTATTGGGGATCTGAAGCAGGAGAGAGACAAGGAGCCAGGCTGAGTGTAAAGGAGGCACCTCACAGGGCAGACACACACTCCCGTCTCTGCAGGGGCAGTGGGCCCTCAGAACACGATCTCACCCTTCCCCTCTCTGGAGAGATCCGACTGTCTACTCTCTTCCCCACCTAACATTCCCCTCAGGGAGCAGCACTGAGAGGCCAGATCCGGATAGGACACAAGGCACAGGCCTGCCTGGAGGCAGATCACGCTGCCCCATCCTGGCTCAGATGCTATTTAACCTTGCTGGGTCTCACTTTTCCTACTCACCAAACAGCTACTACTACTCACCTCCCATGTAAGGATTAAATGAGACACCACTAAATGAGACACTGAGCATGTTGCTAGGAGAGGCTACTCCTCGGGGAAGGACATCAGGCAATGAAAGGCGGAGGGTCAGCGAAGGAGAGGAAGATGGATGGACATGGTGACTGCTGCAACACACTCGAATGTCAGGAAGTATGAGGATGGCACAGAATAGGACAGGGTTCAGATCTACTGTTTACAGATAGTTGCTATGAGTCATACTCAACTTGGCAGCACCTAATAACAACAACAACAACAATGATGAAAACACATAATACATGAGGCATCTGATCTATTATAACCATTGTATCATTATGATTTTTCTATTATAAAAGTGTTAAAAATATGATGGGTCTCCAAGGAGTCTACCATACATGAGAAAGGATATTACCACGTGTTTTATGATAGCAAAAAATGGAAAACAATGAATAGGGATTGGTTAATTAACCTTTGAGTGCACATAGTGGAATACTATGCAATTATTAAAATGCTGACATATATTTATATATTTATTGCCTGGAGAAATGCCGGTCACATTGTTGAATTAAATAAAAGCCACTAAAAAACTGCTTTGAATTTATTTGTGCAAAATATTAGTCTACATTCACATGATATTCATGAAAACATAAAACCGTTACTTCTATGGCTGGAATCTGCAACTGTATTTATTTTCTTCCCCATTATTTTTCATTCCAAATGCATGGTGGCACCTACCGGTATTATTATTCACATTCTAAGGTCTTACATTATCTTGGCTTATTTTCAAAAGAGCTGGTATCTACTGAGTATAACTGTAATGTTAAGACTCACTTTCTAAATCAAGGATATGGACCACACTTCCTTTTGAAAGGTGAGCTTCTAAAATGTGACACATTAAAAGGTCATTGATTTTTTTTCAAAGCAAAAGAGCTGTAATTCAGTAGAAGAACATGTGTTGTTTTCGTTATACTGTGATTGTTCAGATTAAAAATGCAATCATTCTTGCCCAAACAGTACCACAGCAGTATAGGTGGGCACCCAGAAGTTGCCAGAGGCCTGTCCCATAAGCAGTTTGTATGCAGCACAGTGATAACAGTATCTTAAAGGAACATGCAGTACCTCGTTTGCCAGCATCCGCCCTGAAAGTGCAGATAGAAACAGAAGAAGCCAGAGTAAGATGGAAAGGCATGAACAGCAGAGAGCCACACACTCCCACTTGTTTAGGACTGCGTCTCCCACAGCCACATGTCAGTGAGCAGCTCTCCCTTGGGGAGCAGCATTTTTAGGCAGTCAGATGCCATGAACAGCCATTGGCAAATTCTAGGAACACATTCACAGGTCACTCTTAAAAGCGCTGTGCGTCAGTGTCCGGAAGTGCTTTACTTAGATATTTTTCATTTTAACATACATCTGAAGCAGAGACATCTTAGGAGAGCAAGGTACACCCTAAGTAACTGGTACACTATTAATTATTGGGCACAAATCTAAAAGAAGGCAAAAAGTCATCCATTCCATGTTTGTAGTTTCTTATACTATGACTCATGATTTCATTTTCCTTAGATCCATGATAAACACCCATGGAAGCAAAAGTCAGGAAATCAAAAGTCATACTACATCAGACAGGTCTGCCGTCAAGGACCTCTTTAAAGTGCTAAGAACAAGGATGTCACTTTAAAGACGACAGTATGTCTGATTCAAGACATGGGATTTTCAAGTGCTTCACATACCTGTCAAAGCTGGACAATAAATAAGGAAGATGGAAGAATAATAACTGACGCCTCTGAACTGTGTGTTGGCGAAGAGGCCTGAGTATACCATGGACTGACAAAAGGACAAACACATCTGTGTCAGAAGGCGTGCAGTCAGAGTGCTCTTCAAAAGCAAAGACTGAGAAACTTTGTCCCACAGACTTTGGGCACGTTACCAGGAAAGGCTGGGCCCTGGAAGGGAGATGTCATGCGTGGAAAGATGGAGGGTCAGGGAAGGAAGGGAAGACCCTGAGCAGGACAGAAGGACACAATGACTGTAACAACGGGCTTAAGCACAGAGGGGACTGTGAGGAGGAGCAGTATCGCACAAGGCTTCAATCTTTGGATGCAGGGTGGTTATAAGGTGGAGCCGACTCCATGGCACCTACAACAACAACTACTGCTCTGCCTCACATATAATATCTAATAAATATTTAATCATTAAAAAAACTCAAGCTAAGCCGAGAGCCTGATGAAGATATTAATGAATACAGATAACAAAAATACATTTTTCTCAAAATCTGTTCAATATGACTAATGCCACTGTAACTGTGAATGGCCTTCAACCAGGTGAGTGTGTCAGAGATTGTGAGGATGGTATGGGGCAAGACAGTAAGTGCTCAGATCACTCGTTCATGGGGTTGCTATGAGGGTACTTGGCTCAATGGCACCTAACAACAACAACAATTGTGAAATGAGCTCTCTTCCATGATGGGTAGCATAACTTCAAAACTGGCCATTCTTGCATTCTGTAAATCCAAGCATTCTGAAAGCCAGCAGGTATCTATGGCAATGACCTTACTAGAAAGAAAAGAGCATCTTTATTAAAAAGCTGCAGGAGCTCAGAGACTTCAGTTTTGCTGCCAATAAATGAAGCCAGCAAATACAAAGTAATGGGTAATTAAAACCCAAGTGAACCAGAGAAACAAAAGAACAGGATTAACGACAGTAGATTATTTCAAACAAAAGCAGCATCACAAGACATTCAACTTACAGGAAAGTATTTCTGTACAACACCAAAATCGACAAAACCGATTATAATCCATACCACCAACGTCAAAGTGGAAATGATGATGATAAATGGGACAAAATATCCACTAAACCGGTCAGCCAGTTGCTGAATGGGTGCCTACAAAGATAAAAACATCAAGACCAGGATTACAATCTGATGAGAAATTTAACACCAACACGGACCAGGATTTAGACTCTTAGCTCTCTCACGACTACGTTTACTAATCAGTCTCTAGCGGGCAGTAGCTAAAGCACTCAGTTGTTAACTAGAAGGTTGGCAGTTCAAACCCACCAGCCATGCTGTGGTAGAAAGAGGTGAGAGTCGGCTGCAATGATGATTCTGCTTTTTGCTCTGATTATCTAGGCCTCAAGAAATTCCCAAGATGAGGAAGCAGAAACTGCTTTTTCCGGGTGTCTCTCCCTTACCTTCGACATCTGAGCCTCTTCTACGAGTTTCACAATCTGAGCCAAAGTGGTGTCATTGCCCACATGGGTGGCCGTGATGAGCACAGAGCCATGGGCGTTGATAGAGCCCGCAATCACGGTGCTCCCGGGCTTCTTGGTGACCGGCATAGCTTCCCCTGGGGGTGCAGAACACAGACTATCACTCACTAAGCCCCACTCAGCATTCACGTGACGTGGCAGCTGCTTGACACCCACCTGAAGGGAATGTGAACAAGGCACCTAACCTGTGATGAGGGACTCATCAGCCATGGTATTGCCTTCCAGAACTTTCCCATCCACTGGAAACTTCCCCCCGGGGACCACCTTGATGATATCGCCACGTTGCACCAGCTCCATGGGTACTTGCTCCTCTCTGCAAGAGAGTTACACACGGGGCTGAGCCCACCCTGAGGGTCTACACACACACACACACACACACACAGACACACACACACACACACACACAGTTTTTTAGAAAAACTGAGGGGCTATTTACACATTACTTCTTTATACAAAACAATTCAGACATCAAGATAAACAAAATCCTGACACATGCTAGCTATAACGTGCATCAACCTTGAAAGTAGTACGCTGAGCTAAGTCAGTCACAAAAGAGTAACGTCGTGTGATCCTGTGGGTACAATAATGAGTAACAGCCAAACTCAGAACAGAAATTCTATTTCCATTGTTATTCTTTGGCACGCAGATGTCTTTTTTTCTCTAATTGCCTGAACCCTCCAAGTCTTATCCCCCCAAAAAGTCTTATCTCATATTCCATACATTCCTGGAAGTCCTTGGCTATCATTACCTTCCTTGACTAAATTCTAATAACAGTAAAGAATCTACACTGTGCTTCTGCCATTCAGCACACAAGCACCCTCCTGAACTCTAGGTCATGTTTGAAGATTTAACCCACCTGATGATGATGTTGTCCTCACCAAGAGTCACGACAGTGGCTTCTGTGGCTTGGAGAGACATGAGTTTGGCAAGGGCTTCTGAGGTTTTGCTCTAAGACATAAGCAGAAGTACTGTCAAACCTTGGGCACGCTGGTGTAATGGAAAGGAGTTCCGCTGCCAACTCAAAGGCATACGGTAGTTGCTCCTTGGGAACAAGATGGACAATCTCCTCTTGTGTGACTTACAGCCTTTGAAAACCTGCTGGAGGCCAATCTGTGAGTCGGTTCTGACTCAACTGTACATAACAAAAGCAACTGTCAAATCTAGACTTACACTCCTAAGGTTGGAAGCCTCAGGAGACAGCCCGCCCAGGAAGGCTGCTCCTCCCGCAGACCTCCATGTCAAAGGGCTAGAGAAGGAAAAGAGAACCCACACATCACACTGGAGGCCTCTGAACTACACTGCAGGGTTAAAAAACAAACGCCAGTCTGCCCACCGATTGGTTCATCTTGCTTTGGTTTTAATTCTTTTCAGGGTCTAGCTCTCACTTTTTAATAGGAGGTGTTAAACTACTGAGTACATGCCGGGTGTTAAAATAAAACTTTCCAGACTGAGTGGCTCCATATACAGTGATGCACCAGGAGACAGCAGACTTCGGCCTGAAACTCAGGGTTCTCCCCACTCCCCACTGCAGCTAGACAAAGGCCTTAAGGCTTGTTCAGATGCCCTGCAGAACAATGCATCAAGGTCTTAACACTTGACCACATTAGCTGAGATTTCAGAAGTAGCAACCAATTTAGAGATTAGTGATTGGAGAACCTAATTATATGGAGGTTTCCTATTTCCTTAAGTATTTCTCTACAATGAGTATAATTAGTAATTCTAAACATGGTGTTTGGATGAATTGAGAGTTCCACTTCGAAAGGGAGAGCTTCTTAAACCTGAAGGTGCAGTTACCTTCGCCACGTGTTCCAGCCACCGGCCCAGGGCGATGAACACGAAGAGCATGGGGGGCGTGTCAAAGAAGGTCACCGGGCTCCGCTCGGCCTTCTCAGCCATGGCCACCAACAGGATCACCAGGGAGTAGGCGTAGGCGATGCTTGTGGCCAGCACGATGAGCACGTCCATGTTGGCTGTCCTGTGTTTCAGAGACTTGTAGGCCTGGACATAGAAATACCAGCCACCAAGGAACTGGAAAACAAGAAGAGTGAAGACTGCTGACGAGCACGAACATTTAGCTCAGGAGCCTCCCCAGGCAACAACACTCCAGGACGCAGCACAATCTGGACCTGACTTCTTCCTCTGTAACTGATGTTTAAGAAGTACATGTCCTGACTCGGCAATGGATGGCCACGGGAATAGGGAGATTAAGAGCGTCTGACGGCAGCAACAGGCTGAGTGTGGGGCTGTAAAGCTTCAGTGAAGGGTCACTTAACCACGCCTCATGCTGCACGTGGCACAAGAGGACAGATGACCAGCTGACTGCACAAAAGGACGAGGCCTGCCTTTGTAACACTCACCTGCACAAAGGTACACAGGATGAAGAAGATGAGGTTCAGGATGGACAGTCCTGGGATGATGTTCTGGTCCAGGACCATGGGCTCGTGCGGCTCGTGGCTGGGGACCAGCATATAGATCATTAAACCCATGACGGGAATGCCGAACACCAGGCTGCATAAAAAAGACTTCTTCCACCTAAAAGAAATCACAACCACACAGTCTTATCAGACACCAACCTTCACTGAACCAGGTCCCTGCTGAGGTTTGAGATCGGCCTTTGCTACATATGTGGGCAGGACAATCAAGAGCTAAACCAAACGGGCTCTGTCCCTGACACTGGTCAGCTGAGGAGATGTCTGAACAAAGCCTCTGTGATGTTGACAAATTACATTCTGTGTCCAGGAAAGGCAGCTGAGCCCAGAGGCCAAGAGGCGAGCCCAAAAGTTGAGCATCTTTAGTCTCTGGCTGATGACAGCTTACTTCAAAATACAAAAACTGATAACAAGCAGTACTTATATAAACTCACTGATACATCTGATTTTAATACAATTACTTATTAAAAAGTCAGCGGGAATAGGGCATGGTGAAGACCAAAGTTTAAAACTGGGAGCTGTGGGTGACTGTCTTCAGCATTCACGTACTGGAAAACCACGGGTCTGCAAGATAAAGGTCTGTACTATTCAGATGGGTGCCCGGGGCCCTTCTAGAGTCCCCACTTGCCCAGGTTTCTCTCTGCCTGTGCCTCCTCCCCCAGGTCTCTGGAGGTCGGGGTCTCTGTGTCTGTATCTCAACCTCACTCCTACCTCTCCTCCCTGAACTGGACCAACTTCTCCTCATCCTCTGAGGGTCAGATCGTGTGTCCCTTGCTGAGAGATTTCTCAGACTTCCCCAGATCCATGTGAATCAATACCATCGGTGTTCACCCACCCGTCCCTGACACACGAGGTGCCCCGTGTAAGGCAGAGATGATGTTCTACCATCTTCAGGACCAGGAGAGTGGCCACACAGACAGCAGACTCAGTATTTGTTGGGTGAATAAGAGAATAACTGAAATAATGAGTGAACCAGGTCTCCCGCTCCCTGACCATGGTCTCTCCACTTGGCCATGATGCGTGTTGTCTGATCCTAGTTCTAGGATCTAGACAAATATAGTCTGAAGATACTGTAAAAGTAACAACAACAACAACAACAACATAATAATCACAACATTCTCTCAATCCCAGATTAACAAGGAGGAAAAAACCAACAAAAAACCTCTCATGCTGGAACCGACTGAGCTGAGCGTCTAGTGGTTCTCAGAGGCAGTATATCACACAGGAGGAGACAGCCACCTTCCTCCAGCGGAGCCCCTGCTGGGTTCAAACTGCCAGAGAAGAGCTGCCTTTGAGCAGCACCAAGACTCCAGACGGACTCTGGGCTCAGAGCTCCCTCGCTCCCCATATCAGTGTTATCCAAAGCGCTGGCTACCTGTCACGTGTGGTCATTACAATTAATACTCAATGAAACACTCCTGTTTCCCAGTCACATTAGCATTAGCCACCTTTCAAATGCTGCACAGCAACACGTGGCCAGCGGCTAGCACTGGGCAGAAGAGACATAGCACGTTTCCGCCATCACGTGGAGTACTACGAGACAGCAATCCAAGGGGAAGGACAGCAGGGGAGCACGTCTGTGCACAACACGCCCCCCAGTCAAGGCCCGGAGAGGACGGGACTGAGACAAGGGATCCGGTTGCTCTTTTCTGTTCTACCTACTGCTTTATTTCCAGCTTGTGGTCCAAGTGATGAGCGTTGGGGTCTCTCGGCGCCATGGAAGCATGAAAGCCAATTTCCTTGTTATTAAAAAGAAAGGGGTGGGGAGCAAAGTTAAAACATACACTGGAAGAAAGCATTACTAACATTATGAAGTATGTTTTAAAATTAGAAAATTAACCCAAAATTGCTTCTAAAGACTCTACAGGTGGTTTCCAGATTTTTGCCAAAACCACCCTGAGTCCTCTGTTCAGAGGTTCCACTGCACTGGTGACTACAGTTGTCCTTCATGGACAGATGGGTCAGAGGTCACTCGTGGGCCCTGTCAGTTAAGGCATAGGTCCCAGAGTGACAACTTTACCCAGATCCAGAACTGCTCAATGTTAAGTCAAACTCCAATTTTTTAATTTTTTTTTTTTTGTAAGGGAACACAAATACCAAATAAGAGTACTTTCATCCTTTCCATGAAGAAACAGGCTGTCAGAGGGCTCAAATAACTTGCTCAGAGTTGTAGTGTTACCAGAAGAGCCAAATCCAGTACCCCACTAGAGCAGAAGTGGCTCCTTTAGCATCTGGACACCACAGTTCCCTAGGGTCCAGCAGTGATCAATCACAATTTTCCAAGTACATCTCTCTCTTTTTTCTAAAACCTGATTTTTAAAATTTTTTTTTAATCACAAAATACACAAACCTCTCTATGGAGCAGTGTTAACTTGACCTCTTTCGGTTCTGTGTGTTAAAGGCTTGTGTCCCAGGGCAACTCCGCCTTTGTGCAGAACATGTGCACAGGGAATGATCATCTGAGGCGGATTCCCTGCTCTGCAGCACGAGTCAGCACACTATATTTACTGCCAGTTTCTCAATCTTTTACAAAAGTTAGGTGAGTTGTGGTCAGAGGTTGCAAGTGAGAGAACAGACTGGATGATACTGGGGTTAGACACATGAAATTGCTAACACTTGACTTTTGGACTTACAAAAAGGGCAATGTTCAACGTTTTATCTACTGAAGAAGTTGTCCATTCAAACGTCAATCTTGTATGTGCACTTCTTTTCCCATGTCCTGCCATGTGTCCCCTGCTGTGTCTGACCTGCTCACCATATGCTCCAGGACACACAGCAGGAAAGGATGCCAGGCACTGTCCTGTCTGGCAGCACAGTGCAGGCTTGGACCTCGGAATTTTGGTATTGGGCTTTAACACAGAAGGAATAGGTTATGGTGGGAGAAAGAGCCTCTAAGGTTATCTAAGGATAAACCCTATGGTAATTAAGTCCCAGCCTTATCACATTAGGAGAAGATGCCTCAGAGATGTGACAACAGAGGCAATATCCCTCTAGTGAGGGCCAGGAGGATAATGCACTGGGCTCTGGCTGGGTACTGGCAGCAAAAGGTGTCCTAATAAGGAAAGACAACAGAGCTGTGCTCAAAGTCACGGCTACCCCCAGGAACTCTCCTATGGCTCGTTCCATCGGCTGGACTTCTGCGCCTCATCTCCACCATAGAACTACCATTTTTAAGGTTTAAGAGTGGAAAGGCAGTCTGCTGAACTTGGAATTTTAGCCTGGATCTGAGCCCCAGTTCAGCCCCATTAGACATGGACCACTAGCAAAGTCACCTTGTAGAGGGTCTATCCTCATCTGATAACAAGTGGGAGGCATTAAGCACCTCTCACCAGCACCACAGTCACAGGCTTAAGTGATCAGTCAGCTCAGTATCTCTTTACACAAACAAAATACATACATACAATGAAGAAAGAAAAGAAAAAAAGAATCACCTTGCTACAAAGATGCTTCATTTCATGAGCAATTGAAGTTGTCTTTACTACTAGTTGTTACAAGAGCATCTGGTTTAGTGTTGGCTGCTTTGTCAACTCAGATGGTCACTGATGCTCATTCTCTTCCAGTCCAGTACAGCGCAGACTTTAACAGGAATGGGGCGTGTATGAACAAGCGGAGGGAGAGAAGAGGCGATCTGGGCCACATGGAAGCGATTTAACTGACTTTCCAAATTATCCCATTAAAAGGAAAGCCTTAGGACCAGGAAAACATGGACTAATTCTCTCCACTACCAACAGTCCTCTGAGTAGAAACAATATTTATAAATTTTTACAGGTGCCAACTGTCTTGGCTTTATTGATATTTCTAAGGGAACAGCTGAAACGAAAACTATAATCATTCTATCTTTTTTCTTATCTTTTCATTCACTTTTCCCTCTTCAGACACTGATTTCAGACTTACCTTTACAAGTTTATTTTAAATAATCGATCTGACAGGAAACATGAAAGAAATTGATGTGAATTTCCTTCTTTTCTTTTGGATTACCTCAACGTTCTCATTCTCTACTATGATTGCATGCTGTGTCTGAAAACAGTGAAGTAACATTCCTTAACAAATGACTTACCTCAATGATTTTTACAATATCCCGTGGACCGATAATTTCTGGATCAAACTTAACGTGGGCTTTGCTAGTGGCAAGGGCCACCGAGGCATAGGTGATGCCATGTGTCCTGGTGAGCCTGGACTCTATGTTGTGAACACAAGAGGCGCAGGTCATCCCTGTGATCTGTAACACAAGATGACAAGAATCCCATTGGCAGAACCTCAAGAGGGGTGAGGGCACACTGGGAGGTTCTGCTGGGAGGCAGCCCCATGCCCTTCCCCTCCACAGCAGGTTCCCAGGACAGGAGGTCCCAGGACAGGAGCCTCCCGCCTCCAAACAACACAGCAGGGTTTCCACCACGCCCATCCCTCAGGGGCTTTGGCTACACAAACAGATGTTCCCCCTAAGGACTAAGGAAACCATTGCTGAGGAGACTGGTGCTCCATCTGGATTAAGGAAGCAAGATAGAGAAACATGTCTATAATCACAACTCAATTCACCCTGGTGCCATAGAGCACAAGACAAAGATAGGAGCTGAGATGCTGGTAGACGGCTATACAGACAGAATAGTGTAAAACTCGGACAACCCAGAACTGTACGTTCTGACTGAGAGCAACACTACCGCAGAGAACTGCCCCACAGGGCTTCAAAGGCTGTAAATCAGTAAGGATACAGCCTCACCCTTCTCTTACAAAGCAGCGTGAAAGTAGATTCACACTGCCAACCTTTCCTTTAGTAGCACAATGTTTACTTCACCACGTCAGCAGGGCCCTGAGATTTTAGTGGTGTAATTGAGCTTCCTTTTATTGTTACAGTAGTAACAGCGAGGATGATGATAGTAACAGGAGGTGCTATTTATGAACACAGACAGTGCCAGGTTCTTTCATGCTTGCAGCAAGCCCATGTTGTAGGTGTTGGTAACTACGGCCGTGAAGGGCTAAGGAACTTGCTCAAAGTCACACACAGTGGCTGGTAAAGCTGCAGCAGGAGCCCAGACAGGTTGGCTGCAGAATCTGCGCAGTTTACAGCGAGAGGAACCAGCTCAGGAAGCGAAGAAAGTTCATTCCCAGAGGACAGTTCCTATGGTGACAGCCAACAATCAAGTCTCGTGTTTACTGCTTCTGTCCTGATATGAGAAAACAAAGTGTGATGTGGGCCTGCCATTCCTGAGATATACTATGCAAATCAGGTCATGCATTCCACTGAGTATCACTGGCCAGCATTTCCTAGAACACTAATCAGATACAGATATCTACATGAAATGTCTATGAGTATGTAATGCAACATGACTACTGACATGGTTTAGTTAAAAAAAATATGCCATAATAAAAATATTCTTTAAAAACTTTTTTTGACCTTTGCTAGTTAATACTCTAAAGATTTTCCACAAGTCATATGAGCAGAAGTTGTCTAAGTTTGTACCTGGAGACTTGTAGCAGAGACCTGCCCCCACTGCAGGGCTACTCCGAGGTATAACTTATAAGAATGACACTTTGGCCTGACACACAGGGGGCCAGCAGAGCAAAGGGTCTGCTCTACAGAGAGCAGCACTTATCAGGGGTCCGACATGCAACCCATGTCGTTAGCACTTGACCTTCAAACATTTACTTCAAACAGCAGTGAACAATCCCCTTCAGGACTTGAAAGTCCTTTCACCTAGCTAGAAAAACCTTACTCAATTCCGTGTGGCTTGCTTCTGAGTCTACTTTTGTTTACACACTTGTGCTTGCACAGGGAGCATGTCCTAAGAACCAGAAAGAGCTGCTGCTTTCAGTTGCTTGTTGACATGGTTAACAGTGGGTAGGCAGGAGGCACACTCTGTCCCTTAGCTGCAAACACACTGGAAGAGCCACCACCTCAGACGATGGCCTCAGAGCATGCTGGGACACCTTGTCTCAATACCTCCCAAGGACCCACGGAACTAGCAACAATCCCTCTCCCGCTTTTTAAAGGCACTGGTTGCTATGGTGACTTCCCTCTTGACGTCTCCAGAAACCTCCAGGCTTTCAAGCTCCAATTAGGCTTTATCAACTGCTACATTCAATCTCTCCCAACCCACCATGCTCAAGACAGCCTTGTCTGAAGGTTTCACTGCACACAGCAGCATCCACTCCTGTAACTTCAGACTTCAGTGACCCTCCCTTGCTGAATGAACAGGCCATTCATCGTTAGCATCATACAGAAACAAGATACAGGGCAGCTCCCAATAGGGTGTATCCCAAAAGGCAGAAGCAGACCAATTATAACCAAGGCTGTCACCAGAAATTCATCTGTAATTGTTGGGAGCTTCCTGTCCTTTAACCCCAAAGCCCCCAAGCTCTCTAACCCAACCAGTGTACTTACTATCAGCTCAATGTTGCCATCTGAGCCTGTGTAGTCTTCCATGACTGCGGCCTCAAAGCCCATGTTCTCGATGAGCTGAGCTATTTCCAGGGGCTGGATGATTTCCGGATTATACTTGACTTCAGCTTTGCCGGCCATCAAGGCGACCAGCACGGACAGAATGCCTGAAATTATTAGGTCACAGCTGTCAGACTCTAGGTAAGGCCTCGGTGATGACATGTTCAATGTAATTTAACAGAAAGCATCTCTTCTGGAAGCCTCCAGAACAGTGGCCTTCAGACATGACTGTTCACCTGGAGCGGGTTTTGACAATCATAGTGGCTGGATCCTAACTCAGGCCAGCTGAATTGGCCTCTTGTGGGTGGGAGGCAGGCAACACTGCTTTGTAAAGCTCCTTGAGTGAGTCTGCCAGTGCAGATGCAGGGCAGTGCAGTGCAGAATGAGAACCACTGTACTATGAACAATGCTTCTCAAACTTTACTGCCCATAGGAATTCCTAGGGATTTTGTTCCAATTTAGACTCTGACACAAGAAGATCGGAGGTGAGGGTAACCACTCCCAGGTAACTGGGAGTCAGTGCTGCCGGTCCCCAGAAGACTCAGATGAACACAGAAACATCAAAAGTAAAATGCAGGGAGAAAGAGAGGAAATAGGGCTTAATGCTTAGGGTCCACTGAGTCTCTGGCAACGGTGGCAGAGATTGAAAAAGGACAGTGGTGATGACTGCACATGATAAACAATCAAGTGTCTTAAAAAACCCTGAACTGACAAATGTTTCATTATAAATATTATTATCACAATAACAAAATAAGAAAGAACACTGGGATGGGAGAGAACAGAGGGACAGTCGGAAGGGAATGATGATTAGAAATGGTGTGTATGGCAAGTGACAATCTGTAATAAGACATGCATTACAAAGTGAACTGAGGAAGGAAAGTGTGTATCAACAAATGAAAATTCACCCTTGCTGTAATTTTTCATTAAAATAATAATTTAAAAAAAGAAGAAAAAAAGGACTACTGACTCCATCTGTCAACAGTGGGGATATATTTATTATTAAATCTTTTTCAAAACTGGTTTTCCTTACTCTTTTCCATGTCTAGCGAAAAAGAAACTTACTAACATTACTGGGCTAGTTTCTTTTAAAAGTCTCATTCAAATAAATTAAAGGAATGATGTGCTTTATAAAAAAGATGGTGTAAGAGACAAAGAGAGGCTCAACCCAGCAGGTGAAACACAGATACTGATGCTCCAGGTCAGCTGGCACCGCCAGGAGCGAGTCGCCCCACTAGCCTGCAGGCTGAGATTCTCCAGCTGCTTGAATCCACCAGCGGCTCAACCGGAGAAGAATGGTCAAAGCCTCCTGTCAAGGCTTACGACCTTGGAAGCCTAATGGGGCGTCGTCATGAATTGGATTATTACAGAAGCAGACCATAACGTGTTTTTCCTCCCAGGAGTTCAATGCACCAATCTTTCTATCAGCAGCCACGTACTGTAGCCATCGTTGCTCCTTTCACCATTACCCTTCCAAACCAGAGTCAAGCCCATGGCTCACAGTGACCCCTGGCTTTCTCTCTCACTGCCACAGGGCTAGAGTCAAATCATAGCTGACCCCCTCCAGGAGTCTCCCAGGCTGTAAACCACAGAGGAGGTGCTCACCCACCTTCCTCCCTCAGTCACTGGTGGACTTCAGAGTCACAGCCTTTATGTCAGCAGCTTAATTCTCTACAGATTGCACTGTTAGAGCACCCTGTGGCTTTTATGGGACAGAGTAAAACCATCTCATTGCGTTTCCAAGGCTGTAAATTCTTGTGGACGCACACTGCCATGTATCTCTCCTGTGGTCCAGATGGTGGATCTGAAGTGCTGACCTTTTATTTAGCCACTGAATGCTTTAACCATCACCCCACTAGAGTTCCCTTCTAGACCTCCAGGAAGGAACAGAGGTTAGATAAAGCTACCTTCCTAATCTGGGGTTGAGTCCAAGGGTCAAAGAGTCAGAGCAGAAAGGCATGCAACAGAGGAGACCAGACAGTCATGGTAGGGTAACTTTCTAACAAAGATCAGGACAGGATTTGTTCGCACTTTCAGGTTTAAGAGACAGTATTGGAAATGTGGTTTAAAGGAAAAAACGCTGGCGTGTCTGCAGTACTTGATTGGTTACAGGCACAAGAGGGCAGGATACGTGAAATGGAAACCCCTCCACAAAACACAAGCTATTTATGTCTCACTGTGAATAAATACAGTGGAGACAGCACTGTGAATATACTGTAAATAGGGCTAGTGGGACTGAATTGGGAAAATGAATAAATAACAGGACACACAAGTTGAAGTGTGTACCCGTGAGATGTTCCACGGTTTTCTGTGGTTAATTTACTCAGAGATACATACTTCTTTCTCAAACAGATTAAATATCTCTTTGAGAACAGAATGTCAATTGCCCAAGAGCCTCAGCTAGACATCTACACTATCATGTAGTGAACCATCAGACTATCGGGGCTCCTGGGGAACACTGGAGATTCTGTAGGGGGACACCAAGGCCCAGAGGCACCAGATTATCGGGGTTCCTCAGGAACTCTGGAGATTCTATAGACGGGTGTGGAGGGGGAACACAAAAGCCCTGACCCATCAGATAATCAGGGCTCCTGGGGAACACCCACGATTCTGCAGGGAGCATCCTGGGGCTCCAGCCAAGAGCAGCCTACAGCAGTGCTCCCAATTTAGCACGAACTCTCTTACCAGGTGCTTTCTGCAGATTCCTCTCTATGTTGGACACACAGGATGCACAAGTCATGCCCCCGATCTTTAGGAAGCACTTCTGAGGTGCCACTGTTTCAGAGGACTGCGGTACGCCGGACAAGTGGCCAGGGCTATGGTTTTGTGAAAGGTCCGTAGCAGGGGGAGTCACTTCCTGCCCAGATGCAGACGCGCCACCCATCGCTTGCACCGTGGAATTCTCAGCACCGTGGCTTCCAGCATGGTTGTTAGAACAAGTTTCTAAGACAAAATGTTAGAAACAATACAAATTAGAGCATTTATTTTCCAGAACAGTCGATTCAGCCCTCTGACCTCTGTTCAATCCCTACTGTTCTGGTCTATCATCCATTTTCTGGGTATGCCTGCCTTTCGATCCACATATTACTTCAGTAACTCAACAGCTAACAACATTGTTGTAGTTGTTATGTGCCATCAAGTCACTTGCGACCCATAGCGACCTTATGTACAAGAGCCCTAAAGTCTGCTCTGTCCTGTGCCAATCGCCCTGTCTCCGACACACACATCCCGACTACCCCAGTCACTGAATCAATCCACCTCATAGAGGGCCTTCTGCTCCTGTGCTGTCCCTCTACCCTACCAAGTGTTATGTCCCTCTCCAAGGACTGGTCCTTCCTTACAACATGTCCAAAGTATGTTAGACAAAGCCTCACAATCCTTGCCTCCAAGGAGCCGCCTGGTTTAATCCTCTCGAGGAGGAATCTGTTTGTTTTCCTAGCAGTCCATGGAACACTCAACACTCCTCTCCAGCACCACAGCTCAAAGGCATCAATTATCCTTCTATCCTCTTTGCAACAACAACGATATTAGGTAATTCCTTATCTCCCTTACTAACCTGACAATCTCTAATAATGAAATCTTGGATGTCTACAGATTGCATGTTGTTAGGAGGGGTCAGTCCTTGGAAAAGGACATCATGGTTGGAAAGGTGGTGGGTCAGCAAAAGACAGGATGAGATGGAATGACCCAGTGGGCCTGACCCAGTGGGCTATAACAACACGTTCAAGGATATCAGAGATGATGAGGACAGCACAGGACAGGGCAAAGTTCAGATACCTTGTTTATAGGGCCCCTATGAGTCAGAACAAAACAAAGAAACACTGCATGGTTCAAAATTAGGAAGGGTGCACGCCAGTGATGTGTCCTATCTCCATACCTTTTCAGCCTATATGCAGAACAGATCACCTGAGACGCTGGGCTGTACTAGAGGAATGAGGCATCAGGATTGGAGGAACAGCCATCAACAATCTACATTATGCAAATGATACAACCCTGCTTGCTGAAACTGAAGAGGACCTGAAGCACAACGACTGCAGCCTCCAATATGGATTGAAGCTCAACACCAAGAAAACAAAGATTCTCACCACTGGGCCGATTGGCAGCGTCATGCTGTTGTTGTTGTTGTTATGTGCCGTCGAGTCGCTTGCGACTCATTGCGACCCTATGTACAACAGCCCTAAACTCCGCTCTGTCCTGTGCCAATTGCACTGTCTCCGACAGACACTCCCATCCCAATTATCCCAGTCACT